TGGAATAATTTTTCATTAGAAATCCTTCTGTCTGAGCTGTATGGCCATTCTCACAAATAATCTTCGAAATGTTTTCCATAATTTATTACTTTGCTAAATAAGTTTAGCAAAATATTTGCTAAATAAATATTTGCTAAAGCTCTCATTAAATGATTATTTAGGAAAAAAATATATAAAACACTTAAAATGGTTATTTTATTCAAAAGGACTTTTAGGCATATTTTTTTTTAAATATGTGTCCATTATGGTTGAATTGTAGCTAGAGATCGTGTTTGCAAAGATAAGCTTCTTAATGCAATTCTTGAAAGGCATTCTCTGGCTCATAAAGTTTCCATGAATCAATAAAGGAGATAGTACTTTTTATTAGCGACTGTTCATGTTATATTATATTTTATTTATACATTTCTTCTGTGTACCTCATAAGGCTATGGCGGCTGATTTAAACAGAGCCTAGAAAGGTATCAAATGTATCTTATACAGTTTTGAGAATTATTCATCTCAAGCATCTTACTTTCATTATCGCAGAAATTTAAATTAATAAAGTTGTTAAAACATATTTTTAGGTAATTATCAAGGCTTCGATAGTATCGAATTCGATGTAGGGTTTCTCCCAAGTCGTGCAGCAATTACGATCCTGTGTTTATCATCCAAATATATCTCATTTACATCCGAACAAGCTTGCAATTCACGAAGTCTATTAGACGCTATTAGCATTGAAAATTAAGTACATTCAGCGTGTGTAACGTTTTCTTTTCAACATTTCTTTTCCTTTCTTTTTCCATCCAGAGAGAGGATAATTTTGGTTTGTTAAATCCGAGACTTAATTATTATACTTAAGTACAGCAGCCGATGAAACTTATGACCCGACCATACATGTAAAATTGTTCAACGTATTTGAATATTTTTTTATTTTTAATTGCTAAATAATTTCATATGATGACTTTGTCTGATAGGAGTTCATCTGGTGTTAATTTCATAAAGTTTTCTTTCTTAATGTGAAGTTTCCTAATTGTTAACTGGATGATACCTAGAGCAGTTCAAAAACATTTTCTTGATATTTTTATTCAGCTTTCTAATCAGAAACTTTGGAAAGCAGATCAAAATCAGGCTGAAGTATAGGGCTCATTGATCTTACAATATAATAGTATTATAAGGTATTTCTCCCGCCTTCTTAGTGTGCCTTCGCGGTGTAGTGGTCTGCACGCTGAGCACGTATTCCAGAGGTCCGTGGTTCAATTCCCGGCGAAGGCGTTGCTAATTTTTCATGACTTCTGCTTCCAGAATACTTAATGTCTATATAATATAAAATACTGATATTGAATTTGAAAGAAAGAGATAAAAATTTTTATATGTTGAAGGTTTGCTGTTTTCTTGCATATAAAGAAAATTTCTAAAAAAGGTAAGTTATTGATAAAGGTGCAGGGCAAGAGATCCGAAGTTCAAGGATGCGAAATTCATAAGAACCTAGAAGAGGTAGTGTTAGTGGTAGAAATTGCTAAATTCATTATAAATGAGTTCTGGAATTACTTAATGAAAACTTAAATAGCTTAAAAGTGTAACATCCTATCCCAAAATTATGAGAGCAACAATTTACCGAAGCAAAGATTCTTCAGTAAAACAGCTGAATGTGTTCTACTGTTTGATATTTAAACCTGATGAGATGGTTTTATTGGACTAAATTCAACTAATAACTTTGTTAACAGTGCATCTAAATTTACGGAATGTGTTTGAATCTAGCATTAATGGAAAAAAATTATGTTGCATTGGAAGTTTTTTTGTATTTTTAAGCTGTGTGTTGCACCATTTTATCCCATAACCTGAAGACTTTTCTTAGTAAGAAACAGTTTACATATTCGTCCGTAAGATGAAAATCGTGATTCGAGGGCCTAATCTACAGTGCAGTTAAAAATACATGATAATTTAACTATGAGGTAATTACTTGTAATAATAATAGAATCTCTGGCTTTCTGGGTAAATTGCCATAACTGTAGCAGATCTTGGGGTTGGAATGGTACTTATAAATCCTTGGCATATCCCAACAGGTAAAATTTCTAGATTGTGCTATTACAGGTAATCTTGATAGACAGTTGCAGAATGTTAAGTCATTGCAGCATCAAGATCACCTGACATAATATCCGGCGATTCCCCTCCCCTCCTATTGGGTTTTGTCAAGGACGCTGTGTATGCGCCACTCCTACCTCAAGAACTGCCAAAGTTAACGCAGGATATTCATCCAGCCATGTAATAGTGACGGAGACGTGCTGATGTATGGAAAGAACTCAATTATGGTTGAATATAAACCATATGACAGACTTATAAAAAATTAATAAATCTTTGCTATGTAAGTTAAACTCTGGAATTACTCCTGTTTGTAGACACTTTAACTTTTCCTCTATCACAAATTTTGTACTAAATGTGCAAAATAATTTGTCTTTTTTAATTGCCTACTGTTGTCGACTTAACGGAACAATACTATTCATTAAGTTATCATCTTGCTCTTTTTTAAAGAAAAAGATCAGTTTTCATTTATTTTGTTTTAGAAAAGTTATTTTTCGTGTATTCTTAACGTATTTTCTAATCTGTAAATTGCTGTTTCTTCATTTCTTTAGATAAAAATTTTCCTTTTTCCCAGAATGTTGTAAAACTGTGCGCATTCGTTTAAAAAAAAAGCATACAAAATATTTTGAAATATGATTAGGTCATGTTAAACCTAAAACTTCAAAATCTATTAAATTAGATGCTTGTTTTTATTTGCTTTTAAAAGTCATTTCATATTGTCATCATGAAATGTAATTTCCTCTTAAATTTTGAAAGTTTCATATCTACGGTATCAAATTCGGATAATTTCTGTTTCTTATTTTAAAATCTAGCTGCTTGCTCGGCCAACTGAACAATAGATTAACACCAAGTAGTAATTAATAATAAACTTGTAATTAATAGAAAGATAAAATATGCTTGTTGCTTTTAAATCTCTTAGTTTGTTAAAAATGTAATGGAGAGACTAACACTGAAAGAAAAATTAAAAATCATATGCTCTGTCAAAGGGCAACACACCGGCGCGTTAAAGATAAAAATATTTTATTTCGGACAGCGGGAATACATTTCTTTTAAATCGCTTAGATTTGTTTATATTTAAAAGACACGTTTCGCAGCGGCAACACATTCCTTTGAAACCCTGAGTTTTCTGATTAAATTTAAACGTAAATATCATACAGTGCAGTTAAAAATGTCAGACACATTATTCTTAAATTTCTCAGTTTGTTAATCAAAAATTCATTAAACTCACACAAGGTGTAAAATAAATAAATAACAAATTCGGACTTCGAGGGACACATGTTCGGTGGGATGGGCTATACGTGTTCAAAATTTGGTAGCCGCCTGTTTCCACAATGCGAGGAACATGTGAACGTATATACATACAGATTCTTCATTATTTAACGATCAAAATCTCGTATATACATACAGATTCTTCATTATTTAATGATAAAGATTAATTGAATTTTATATTTTGTAGAGTTTGTGTAACACGTTTAGTTTTTTATGCGAATAATAATTTTCACTGTCTTTTGAAGGAAGAATATTGGCAAAGGAAAATATCTCAAACCCATAAATTTGGAAAGCAGAAAAACGTGGTATTTCAGTGTATTTCATCTGCAGTGCAAGATGCTTTCTTACCTGTTCATCCATTATGTTGAAAGAGGATCAAGGTGTCCTCCATTCATAATTTGATATTGCTCTTTATTTATGAGACTTCTATCAAAAGAAACTAGAATAATTTATTTTAAAATATTTTATTAAAACTACATACGATTTAATGCTAACTTTTGCGAGATATTGTCCTTGATAATGCAAGCATCGTAATACAATGGCTTTAGCCTTTCCCACTTCAGATCTGTTGTACATATTGTTCCATTAGGTTGTGGATTTATTTATTTTACTTTGTCCATTGTTCAGTGGTTGTGTTATTATACCTTTATGCTATTCTTTAATCTTCAGAGGAAAAAAAATGTCTTCATGAAATTTGTTAACTCTTTAAATTAACTCTTCTGTTCCTCGTACGCATTCTGAAGAAACTGGTCTATTTCAGTAAAACAGTGCATATATGCACCGGACCAATAATATCCAGTTATAGCTCAAGGAACATAGCCATCCACTGAGTTCACATTTTTAAAGCCACATCACCAGCTGGCTTTAAAAACTGCTCCAAACTTAAGCTTTGTCGAATCTGTTTGGAATACTGTTGACAAAAAATCAGATCCATGAATCTGAGCTCAACAACATCAGTGAAATGGCGGTTGTTGAGCTCAAATTTTAATAGATATGGCTTGAATGCCTTTAACAATCCTATATAGAATATTATGGAATCAATTCTCGGCATGTGCAGTTTATCATTCAAACTAGAGAAAGCTTGAAATGATGCAAGAGAGTTATTTCTAATATAGAATATTTAATATGCTTCGTTATTTTAGTTACATACCTTTTGCATAATGCTCCCCAAAAAATACTATAAAAATTGCAGAGTATATTTGAAAACGTGATAGTTAGAGTTGTAGGGAAAAGTGTTATAGGCTCTAAAATCTTTGTAGCTCAGAATGAGAAATATCCAAGAAATGGAAAATTTTTATTGTAAAATACATGTGCTTTTTTATAATTTAGCTTTAGAATACAAGCGTCGTCAGAATACTTATGGCATTTATATTTATATCTGAACTAATAAAGTAAGCATTTTATTTAATACTATTTACAGTAATTAAAGATATAGTGTCTACGCAGACCTTGGAATGAAACCAAGCCGTCATACTCGTTTTCGTTAATTATCAAACCTGGCTACTTAAATATTCTCCTTAATGACATTATCTCTTTGAAGTTTACGTAATTGTACGTAAATAAATTTAGAGGTTTTAGATTAGATTGTAAACTTTTATGTGAATGACGAAACTAAGTTACTGTTGAATTTATTTAAAATATATATATTTATGTATCTTAATATCTCATTCCAGGTGTTCCGCAAGTATCTGACTTTCTGCGGCATTGGAGTTCAGAATGCTCAACTCTTCGAGATGTCTGTTCGGGAATTTAAGAGGAATCAAGTAAGTTTTTTTAAAAAAAACTTCTTTTCATAGTTCCAAAAAATGGTGTTGGTGTATGTGATTAAGACAATGCCTCGAAACAATTACCTAAGGGGGATGCCTTCGTGGAGGACTTTCTAAGGCAAACAGTGTCATATACACATGCGGAAAACATGCAGGCAGCCCGTTCGCTGGATTGGAACCTCCAACCGAATTACCAGTGTTCAGTGACTTTACCGCTCGGCCGGTGGAGGCTCTAAAAAATTAGGAAACATGTACTTTGTTTATTCTACTTGCGTACGGTCTGTTCGAAATTTTTTTCTAAATATTGACGTTTAACTTTTCTTATACTTTGAACTTTCTTATACTTTTTAACTTTTCTTATGCTACTTCTTATACTTTTCTTACAATATACTCTTGCCCTGTTTTCAGACCTCAAATTTAAAACGATCCAACTCTGTTACACCATTATACTAGGCTACGTAGTATAAAAAGGTATTATAACTACGTTTAAAAGTTCGAACTGTTTTCCGACATCCAACCTGCAACTTTTATCAGTTTAATAGGCTTTATGAATTTTTTAGCACACCAGCTCAACAACTGCCCAGCGGTAAGGACGCTGAATGCTGGGTGTTAAATCCGTTTTGGAATCCCTCTTAGCGAGTTGGCTGCATGTGTGTTTCCTTAGTTTTTTAAGTGTGTAACATAAACACAGGCTATTTTCTTTTAAAAATAGCTGAATCCACCCCTTTTGCGGTTAGTGTTAGTGTACTTTATTGTATTCTGTTAAACAAACACATAAACACACTAGTTTACCCTAGTAAACACCCTTTTATCTAATGGCGGGCACCTGCCTATTCAGTGCTGGCCACTCCTAAGGCCAGAAGTGGTGGCCATTTTATTGTGGAGGCACCTAATAGGAGGCCGCCATTGCTTTCTATGAAGGGATAGGCAGTTACAACCAAGCCATCTCTGGGATTCGAACCTGTCCCCTTTACCGCAGTACGCTTCCCTAACCACTGTACCGTCTGGGCGGCTAGATACGCTAGTATTGGAGCGATTATATCGTTGTACCTAAATCGTGTTGCAGACTTTTATTAATGCTTTATACAGTAACACGTTTAAGACTAAAACATATTCATTGTCAAAAGTTTTATATCGAACCACCCTACCATAGTAAGTGCACACTGCCCTACTAAAATAGATCAGGTCTTTCAAAATGCATAATAAGACCACTGGATACAGACAAACGAGCTGGCTACATGGCTCGTTTCTATAGTTTTGCCTATGTGATACATGAATAAGAGGCAGTCTTCCTTAAAACGCCGTCCATGAATGTATCCCTCTCCTGAGGCAGGGCAGATAGTCCTTGTTGCGTTTAAATTCGAATATAAAAAAATTTGCTTATCAGCATTAGATGGATGCATTTATGTTTAAAAAATTAACTACGCATGTAGATTTGGAAGGAAAGGAAAAAATTGGAAGCTTCATGCTTTTATTGTAACTGATCTCGTTGGAACGGAACTAGGTTGCATTAACTTTGGAAGCTTGACAGCTGTTTTTGATCTAAACAGTTTTTTAATTTAATTTTTTCTTAATTTTCTATTTTCACTTTTAATGTTAAACTAATCTTAATATCCTGTAAAATCTGTGAGGTGAAAGCACCAGAAAAATATGTAAATTGCAAACCATCCTTAACATTTTATCATTTCATTAAATTCATATTAACTTGAAAAGAGAGTTACTGCATAAACTCATTTATTGATTCCCTTTATTTTTCGTTTTATGAAACTCTTTTTCTTTCAATTTTTTTTTCCAATCCAATAAGTTTAAATGAAATACAAGAAAAATGCGTATCATTTAATATTCCGTACGAGGAAGTCATGTGGTGCACACATTTTGTTATATTTATAAACAAAAACCAAATACTTAGGTAAATGAAAGGCTTACCGCATTTCTCCGCCGAAATTTCAAAAGGGAATTTACCCCTGATTGAGAATCCCTGCAATAAACCCTTCTCGAACGCATCACTACTTCCTTAATATATCGCGCGTACAGCAAAATCGCGTTCCGCAGAGTTAACTTCCTATGAGAAAAGTGTTTTAGGTGTAAATGAGATTAAGAAAGTATGTGTAATTTAATAACTGTTTAATGAATGTGTAAATAACTTAAATATTATTGTAATTAAAAGAAAAAAATTTTAATTGAAGAATTTTCATTACTGTTGATTAAGTACTTGATGCAATTGTTATTTTTTTTAAGGACTGCTGATTTTTGCTTGGGACAATGACTGTGGGAACTAAAAATTTCGCGATTAAAAGCGCAGAGTTTTCCAGCGCTTTTCATAAAGTGATCTCTTCTTTCTTCGTATGGATCAATTTCCACTGCAAAAGCGAACAGTTCCTGTGCTTTTATTAACAGTTCATTTAATGTCTTAAACGCTTCTTCTTCGTTATCTCTGCTTTCACTGGCAATTAGTGTTATAAGATCATTCACTTCTTCACTGTCATTTCTCAATTAACTCTTTGACTTCTACTTTTTCCATATCTGAAAATTCTTCGCTTCAAACTGCTTTTACAATTTGTACGATTTCTTTAGCTTGTTTCAGTCGATGGAAATACTTTAAAATTATCGGTAACTTCTGGCCACAGTTGATGAATGAACGTTGAAACACGTATCAATGAAGTTTTAGCATTGACAAATTAAATAGAAACAATTAACGTAATGCATATATGCGAAATTGCATTCAACAAATTCGCGTCTCCTGAGGGTTCTAGTGTTTGCCATTTAACAAAAAAAGGGTATTTTTAGTGCTTTTCATTTCAAAATGGTAAATCATTATGTATGTTTTATTTTTTTCGAATATATAAAGTTTTAATTAATTTTTTAAGTTTTAATTAATTGTTTAATATATATATTTCTATAAGAGATTGTTGTGTGTCCAGCTACAGTATCTTTGACGAAAAAAAAAGTAAAAAAGACATTTTGTTTTCTTTCCTTGGATATATTGTTTTGTATGTTCAGCCCTGCTGTAGAAACATTAGGTTATTTCGAAGCAGGTGAGAGTAAAAATGAAGAAGCCTTCGCCGGGAATCGAACCATGGACCTCTCGAATACGCGCCGAGCATGCTGACCACTACACTACGAAGGCATGCTAAGAAAGGGGGATAAATACCTTATACTCTAAGCGTGTGTAAAACTTTCCGCGTTTAATGGTGACAAAAGAGAGTAAACTTTTAAGACAATTCACATACCTTCGATAGCTTGAAAATGCTGAAAAAGGATCTTTGTTGGGAAGTTTCACGAACTTCCCCCTCTTTTATCTGCAGTATACCGCGTAGTTAAGTAATTTAATTAACGGCATCTGGAGATATTTTGCAATACAAACAAAATAAGGTACGATTCATTACTTTATGACAAATCTTATTAGAGATGTTGACAGTTATGTGAATGTATTTAATTTTCCTTAGCGTTGTCCCGATCTGAAACGGGTTTTAATTGTTTGATGAATAAAATGGAAGACGATGAAACTGTTTCATACTCACATTTGTCGATAACTCTAAATTGACTTGAATCCTTTGCTTTCACTGATGTGAAAAAAAAAAAAAAAAAAAAAAAAAAAAAAAAAAAAACATTGTTATACTTAGACAACGTTGAGTTAAATTTTTAAGAAACTGAAATCAGCAAATTTTTTACGTTTAGCTGAGCTAATTTGGACGCTGAATTTTTTCCTCTGTTTCCAGACTCTTAGTATAACTAATAAAAGTTGCTTCTAATGCCATTACATGCTTAGCAAAGGTAAATTTTTCTTTACCTTTGCTATTTACACTCTGGCATCTACATCAGATATACTTGTTTAACTTTGTGATAAGCTTTAAATTTTTTCGAAATATTTCAGTCAATCATTTCTATACTTCTTCCTTTAATTTATTCAAATGATTTTCAGACGACAGCATAGTATATATTTTATATTTAAGAGAAGCCATATATGTGTAAGATTTCCATGTTGGTCTCTTTGTTATTTTTATTCCTGTTTGTTTCAGTTTTGCCTTACAGTGCGAAAGTTCAGTACTGGAGCTTGCATACAAATCAGCTGAATTTTTAAGCAGCCAGAGGTATCTAAACAACCTTGAAAAAACGAATAATTCTTTCCAGATAAATTTTTTTAATGTGTTGACCTTTTACGCTAAACTAGTGTGGGAAGTTCGCAGTGTCCTTCAGATGGCTGATTGAACACCGAGTTCGCACTGCCCTCTTCGATAACTCTTTAGTATCTACGGCTTCTTTCTTTGTCGAAACATGGCGTAACTTGAGTTACCAAACACTTGTAACTAACACTAATAACAATCGTAATCTACATAATTCTCAACTTCTCGTAACAGCTGATAATTGAACTTCTGTTTTCATTTTCCCTCTCATCATATTGGTGCAATAAGCAAAATGAGAAACAGACATAGAAAGACCCGTTGACGTCATGCGGAAAAGTCCGATGAATGTGTGCTATTGAGAAGCCCGCTGTTAAAGAGTGGTACTCGCAAAAAAACAATACTTGACTTACTGATAGCGTCTTCGCGTATTATATTTCGAGATTATTTTAAGTGGTAAGAGAAGTTCTGATTGTTGGATCGGATCTACCCTGCCCTGGATTGGCATGCCGTTTCGGATTCGGTTGAGATGTTGGCGTCCTTCGCAGGCGTCACTAGAAATGCATCGTTTGTGTTCGGTTAAGTTCACGGACAAGGCTATTTCGGACAGTAGGGTCAAATCGATTAATTGTGCACGTATGCTGTGGATAGAACAAACAAACGAACATCGAACAAATTCCTGCCTTAGCGTGTGACCGTTGTTTTAAAAACAGAAATTAGTATCAATATATTTTAACATAACATACTGATTTATCGTCTTTGAGTTAGGTCTATTCCTGCGAAGTTTTTTTCAATTAGCATTGTGATTAAATTTTAAAGAGACTGTGTGCGCCCTGTAAAAATATAAACCTTTATCCAATGAATGAAATTATAGTT